TTTTTATTTTATAATTGGAAACAATATCTAAAATGTATAAGGTCAACAATAGAGGATAAAATAGATTCCTTTTATAAGTAATTCTATTTGATAACAATTCCATAAGTAATTTCGTGCATTTCTGTCAAAAACTGAAAATCAACATATAAATAATTGGATACAGAGTTACCAAAAAAGCACAGATGGTCAATTGAAGCTATTTATAATTTTGACCACTGAAGAGCCAAAATTATTTTTGAACAGAATTTCACCATTTTTAGAATTTTTAAGTTTTTTTTTCCTCTAGAAATAGTTCTAGTCTAATCTCCTCGGGTTAATTTGTCTTGTTTTCATCTGATATATCTCTACTCACATGTCTTTTTTTCTCTGAGCTTGTCTTTTCCTTTGTTGCGTATCTATCTCTATGTCTCTTTCTTTGAAGAAATAATAAACTTTCTGAAATTTCCTTAGTTTATAAATGAGAGAGAATTGTTGGTCCTAATGTTTTGCAATAATGAATATATAATGTATAGCATAGGAAATAGCACACTTAACAATGCAGTAAAAGTTAGATGCTAATGTGACCTAATCTATCATCAGAACTTAATTTGTGGCTGTTTAGATTATTTTATTGCCAATTTTCTTTTTAAAGATGGATATTGTGTTTTACTTTTTTGTTCTTTAAGTTTTCAAAGACTTAACAGAATATCTTGGGGAAATGAACTAGAAACAAATCATAATTTATTCATACATTTATTGGAAGACTGAAAAGTACAACAAGCTATTGAATATGAATATGGTTGTGATAATTATGGTAAAGACATTTGTAGTTTGTAACTAGGAAACAACTAAAAAATGTCCTAGTGGCAAAACTACTGATAGGTAAATCTGTTGTATGGAAAGGGAAATATGGTTGTTAATTCATAAAATTTCCTTGAATTATATAATATTTAAAATGCTACAAGTTATAACATATAATAAAATTATACATGCTGAAAATATTTTATATATGCTAATTTTTAGGCTTGGGGTACAATGGAGTACAAATATAACTACAGTAGTGTCTGAAAAAAAAGAAGCACTAAGAAGGAATTCTATTCAAATGTTTGATTTATTATCAAATCATTTATTTCTAGTGTTGACTGTAAGTAGAACTCCATGTAAAATTTCTATTTATTGTGAAATATTATTAATATTGTTTTCTTTTTCAGAATGTGGAGTGGAAAGACAGAGGAAAAGAAACCCCAACGTGATTACGCACACAACATATCTGTGTATGCCAGACAAGCACGTGGTGGCCCTATTCTTCATGAAGAAGAAAGAGCTACATTGAAGTTTAAACAGTTCCTAGATACCTTAAAGAAACTGTAAGTATTCCTAATGGTACAGTTTATGTCCCTGAGGACTATTGTGACTTATTCATGACTTGATATGACTGAGGAATTCAGGAGAAGTGGATAGTCTGGAGACTGTCATGAGATGCCAACAACCCTCATGAACTCAGTCTTCATGACATGCAATATATACAGCTGCGCATGTGCATCCTCATTTTAATTTTGCATTGCAAGAAAAAAAATGTGCTGTGTACTGATGTTAAGTAAAAAAAATTATGTTTATGATTTCATTAGATTTAATTTCTGGATGACTTTCCACAGAATTTTAACTGTCTTTTCCATCACAGAACCTTTAAACACACTTAACTTTTATTTCATTTTTTTTTCTTTGAGCATGTTGTCTTGCATTTGGAACACAACTGCTTAGTGGTAAAAAGCAGAGAAATGGAAAGGAAAGAAAAACCCACACAGGAAAGCAAATGAGGAGATTATAATCACATCATTTACCAGTTTCTTTCTTTCCTCTGAATCTTCCCATATGCCTCTCCTAGCCCTCTCTCAAATTCATTGCCTCCTTCCTATTAATTATTGTTACATACATATATTTCTATGCATAGATATGGAATTTCTAAATAGTTCTCATGGCAGTTCTTTGAGACAGCTGTGATGAGTTATTACAATATATGTGCTGAAATTTGTCTTACCTCTTCCAGAGAATGCACATTTTCTCTTTGCCTGCCTGATTCTAGTACCTTTGTTTTGCTGTTTCTGTTGTGTATTAAATTATTATAAACTCAGTGGTTTAAATAATGTGCATTTTGGTATACTTTTGTGTGTGTTTCTTTTTCATGTTGATATCTTTAGGCATAGTATATCTGGTTTTCTTAACATGTCAGAGTTTTAACCAAGACTTGCCGTGAGCTGTTCATTTCTGAAGCAAGAAGCTCTCCTCCATGGCAATGCTGTTGATGGCAGGATCTTAAATTACTTACAACTGAATAGCTGATACCTTCACTTTCTTGCTAGCTCTAAGCAGGGACATCAGCCTTTGACATCCGCCCCCACCCCTGTAGCCTCACAATGTGGTTTTCTCTCATTTTGTCACCTAACATGAATGCTTACCTTTTCATACGCCAGAAAGGAAGAGTCTGTATTTCTTTCTTAAATTTTAAATTAATTAATTAATTAATTAATTAATTAATTAATTAATGTTGTTGTTGTTGTAGAAAGACTCAGGAACCCGACTGTCAAGAAGTAGGTCATAGGCATGGTGGGATTTTTATGTTGGTGGGATGCCAACTGTTCATGTATCCCTTGTCAACGTGGTTTCTGTGAGGAGATTCGGGGTGGGCTGTCCAGCTGTTCTAGACAGGAAATGACAGTAACCTCTTTTTCATGGAGAACGCAGGGAAGCCATCTCATTCCGTCCAAGGCTTATATACTATGGCACTGACTGTAACATTGCCCGCTTTCCAAATGTAATTATGAAATGCTTTGTAGGAAACAACTTATTTACAATCTGCCGACTCTTAAAAAAAGTGATTTATATGGGTTTGGGGATGATGTGAAGATTGGGAAATGCAAGGAATTCAGAAGTGATTGTGAAGCAGCCTGAGGTCCTTAGAGAAAATTCGGCCCAGTTGCTTGCTATCTTGTCTGCTTTCTCCAATTAAAGATGCTTCCTTCGAGGGAATGAAGCATCTGAAGATCATTACATTTCGGCAGAGCAGTGATGCAGAGCCACTTCTCAGGAAGGACTCAGAGGACTCAGTCCCTGAAAGAAATCAGTGTATTTGCCTTTTAGAATCAGGCTGTGAAAAAAATCCAAATGCAGCCTGCTTCTCCCACTGTCCTCCAGTGAAGTGGCTGATAAGACGAGGAACTGCAGTCTGGGACGGCACTCCAGGCTGTGTGCCAATCAGAGAGGGAAGTGCTATGCAGCTCTCAGTTTTGTGTAATTGCCTCATTTGGAGTAAATCTGCTTGGAAACAGCCTGGGAAGGCTCTCACCTAGAAAACAGGATCTTCCTTTGAAGCTATGTTAGTAGAGAATGGTGTAAATACAGATATTTATAGTAATGACAGGAACCATGATCATAGATACTACAGGAATGTGATTAAAGGAAGACAGTTTTTTGAGATGAGGCAACAAGGAACAAAATGTTAACTCTCTGATATCATATAGATATTATGAAGCTGTCCTGAAGAACAGCACTGGGCCCTGGTCTGCCTGGGGCAGCAAGATCCATAGTTACACTTGGGAGGTTTTCATTTTCGTCAACTTGGCCCGTGATCAGAAGAATCCAGGTCATGATCCAGACCGTACTGAGCATCGACTGTGCAAACTTTGGGAAATTCGACCTCTTAATATTCAGTTTACTAATCTATAAAATCCATAAATCCTGCTATTGTTATTGTTGTTAGACCCAGAGGAGTCAAAGCTGTCTTGTACATAATTTTCATCAATGAATTATAGTTTGCTACCATCTCAAGTTAATTCTTCTCTCAAGAAAGAATATGTAAATTTCTGTTATGATAGATGAACAAATGTAAGCTCTTAGTTATTTTTCATGTATTTATGTACAAAGTCAACCATGGTATTTTCATACTGTAGTTCAAAATGTTGCTTGTTATAGTTCTTCACACCTGAATGAGCATTTAAAAACTCATCTTTGTAACAATCTTTAGTAGTTTAGAAATAAACAGGTCTTCTATTATAACATATCTAATAACACACTTTAACTCGATTAGTAAATTATTTTGAATACATTTTAAAGTACAGCTTAATTTTCTTCATTTTCAGTGACTCATCTTCTTACATTTCAAGTTAGAGTTTTTTCACAGAGATGTTTCAATAGTATTAATACAAAAGAGAGAACACATTAAATATTATGAATCAGATTGTTATGGTCTTACTGAAAGATTTTAATATGTATTTTATTATAGATTTAATAACACACTGGTTAAAATATAGTGTATAGATTATTTGTAACAATTATCTTGTTATCACAAACACATATGATTTTTTAAAAACATGTCTGACAAAAAATTTAATTGCATTCTTATTGTACTTACTTATTATCACAAATATTTTAAGCCATCTTGTTGTGAGCCAGCCCTAACTTTTCAAATAGTTTTAGTTTACATACAAACAACTGGATTTAAAAATATGACCATGCTGTTGGACTATAAGGGGCCATTTTGATGTTCAAAATAAATTTAGAAAGACTTGGAAAATCACATCCGGATCATATTAAATCTACAAAATCATGTGCCATGTGGTTCTTTCTAGTAGACTATGGGTCTACATGGTCATTTTGAGGTCAATCTCTAGAATTATCTGCAGAGAGGTGTCAAATTATTTGATTGTCTTTAGTGACTTACAGAACAACCCTTATTTGTCATTCTATGCTTTATCCACTAAATACCTATCTTAGTTTGCATAAAGAATGAGACTATAGTTTGTAGTTCCTAATGTGTTTCCAATATGCATTTATGATTCATAACTTGGCTATTACAGATAGTGCTGCTGCAAATAATGATGTACTAGTGTTTCTGTGGCATGTTATCTTAGAGTGTTTAATTTTTATTTTTCATTCCTACTGCTGTTGGGTTGTGTATGCAGAAGATGTCTTAAAAACAAAGAGCACACTTTATAAACAAGAAGTCCCAAAACTATGAAAATATTATTTAGAAAAAAGTAAAGAATGTTCAAGTTATGTAGCACCATAACTGACTTCAGTCATAGTGTTCCAGAACCATAGTAATGAAAAGAAGCATGCCACTTGCACAAAAACAGACACATCATTCAATAGAGTGGAATCAAGAATGCAAATATAAATACATGAAATCACAGTCAACTCAATGCTGAAAACATGCCACAAACGCACAGTGGGGAAATGATGGCTTCTTCACCAAACTGTTTAAAAAAAAAAACTAGAAAAAATCCTGCAGAGAAATAAAGCTAGATTCCCCCATGATGATTTGAATTAGAATGCCTCTTATAGGCTCATATGTTTGAATTATTGGTTCCAGTTAATCGAATTATTGGGAAATAATGAAGGCATGGTCTTGTTGAAGGTGTCTCACTAGGTATAGACTTTGAGGTTTCTAGACTCCTGTTTCTTTACCGGTGTCTCACGCTTTGGCTCCTGGTTGTGTCTCAGGATGTGACCTCTCAATTACTGCTCCAACTCCACGCCTGTTTCTCTGCTCCAATCGCGGTGGATATGGATCCTAACCATCTGAAACCCTAAGCTCCATACGGTGGATATGGATTCTAACCACCTGAAACCCTAAGCTCCATACGGTGGATATGGATTCTAACCATCTGAAACCCTAAGCTCCATATAAAGTCCTTTTATAAATTGTCTTGTCATGGTGATTTATCATAACAATAGAAACTTATTAAGACAATCTTTGCCATTTAGCCTGTATAAAAAGCAGTTCTAGATGGATCAATTATTTTAGCATAAGACCTGAAGGCATGAAATAAAACACAGATAAAGACGTTGATATATTGTCCTAGGAAGGATTTTCTGAAGAGAAAGGCAATAATTCAGGGAATAAAATGCAGATTTAACAAATGAGGTTGAATAAAAGTTCTTCCCAGGAAAGAAAACAATCAATTGAAGAGACAGGCAGCAGAATGAAAACAAAGTCGCTATCAAAACTTTAGCAGAGAATTAATATTCAGAACGCATAAAGAACTAAAAATCCCTGAAAACAAAATACTCAGTCAACACATAGGTTAATTAAGTAAACATAATTTTCAAAAGCTGAAGTACAAGTGGACAGTGAACTCAGATCATATATGTAAAGACTTCTCTAACCTCTTTTCTAAAATGATTGGTGCTTGGCTCTTCAGCACAGAAGTTATGCTGAGTGCAGATTCCTAACAGGAAGTGATTTTCTTTCACTTTTTTTATGGCTTTCTTTCGACTCTAAAGTCAGATAGTTGATTTGGATTTTTGAAAGTAATAACTTTTGTTAGATACTTTTATGCTTGTTTTACTTTCTAAAAATTTTATGTCC